TTTTAGATGATTAGATGATGAAAGTTTGAAGTTTATGACATCGTCGAATAAAATTGTGAAAAAATCATGAATGAAGCGAAAACACTTCGAATTAGCGAAAGAAGATCAGAATTGACCCCATAATTTTTCTAGAAAAATAATTGAATACTTTTGTCAAGTTGCAAACGGAAATGAAGAGGGAGGCGAAGACAAAAAAATTATGGCCTGTGAGAAATTTTATAATTGTTGTTTTGCACTCTGAATATAATTTTGATTACAATAGTAATTAAAATTTCATTCAATGAGGACGGAAACTCAGAATTAGTGGATCACTTATTATAATATTTAAATTGAACAAGCAATGAACCAAGACGCATTGTTTTCATTAACTTTAACACTCAATAGACTAAAACGATGATAAATCATTAATTTTCGAAAGAAACAAAAAAAGCAAAGGCATAATAAATGGGCATCAACGTCGCGGCCGCTTGCGGCCGCTAGTCTGATATATAAAGTAGTATGGTCACGGATCGATTTCCAAGATTAAAATAAAATCAGGCCCGGTCGCTCGCTTCGCTCGCTCCCTCGTTGGGGTGTGACCGGTAGAGATTGGTGGAATTGGGTGACCCATTATGGGTCGAACCAATAACTTCCCGACCGATTCCTCTTTTTCTGTTCATTAAAAAAACAAGCAGGGAGCTGAGCCTATCCGACAGAAGGCATGTGACCGTTACTTTACGCGTTATTAATCTTGACATTCCTTCATTTCTGCCAATTCCATTGGTAGTATGCTTCCGAATGGATCCGTTGCAATTCTATTTCAAAAAACTTCGATTGCAAGAGGAAAACACACCATTCTCATGATAACCTTCCTTTGAAGTGGAAAGGTGTAAAAATGAGGTTTTTACATTTGTTGCTTTTTCTTTCTTTATTCTATTCCATCAATTTTCAGTGTTTTCATTTTTTCGAATTTCAGGAATTTCAAATGAAACAGAAATTGCAAAAATTGGTCTGGGTTGTTATGTGGAGACGCATCGATTACACAAAATTAATTCAAATCCCATCGTTACCTTAAATAAAATGGTCGAATTTCTATGAAATTAACGCTTTTTGGCATTTTTTACAAGTTTTATGCAGATAAATACAAAACCGCTGAGTCAATTGTTTTCATAAACTAATCAGTTCTAAGTTACATGAACACGCAAGGAAGAAAAAAATCAATCGCTTCATTCGTTCAGGAGATATCGTTGGACAAAATTTTGGTCACATACGTACACACATACACACACACAAACACACACACACATACAGACATGTCTTCAAAAATGTATCAGGATGATTCCGGAGGTCGAGAAATGTGGAGAAATCATCGAAATTCCATATTCGATTTTCGGGGTCATTACAATAACTTCCTCCCTTCGGGTCGGGAAGTTAATGAAATAATTTTTTTATGAAAGTTAATATCAATAAAACCTCCCGGTGCAATTTGTGGTACATTGATCGTTTAGTATGGTTCATAAGAATTAATGAAAAACTAGATTTTAACAGAGTCTTACGGGCAAATCATATTTTTGGGTGGTTTTTATGATAAATCCAAAATTAAATTATAAAAAAATACCAAAAATGGGAAAAAAAATTTACGACCATCGATGAAAATTATTGACCGTTTGGGACTTTAGTTATAAATAATTCCTCGGTGTTTGCAAATTGCGGGTCGAGTAGATGCGGCAACGACGCGTTAGTGGAGTGTGGACAAGCGGGCATTTCAAATATCGTTTTCCCTACGCTGTCAAGTTACAGCGTTGCCACACATAAAACGACACTAGTCAAAGGAGGTACATTATTTGACTAATAAGTGAAAGATAATAAAAATAATCGATTAATTCTTATATTCATAAATTTTATAATTCACGAAGAGAATTTTCAATTATAAATCATAGTTTTTTGATTAATTTTTTTAGATTTTCTTGACGGACACTCAACGATCACTTTGGAGAGTGACCATACTACTTTAATGAAAAAAAAAAACTTTCTTAGTAAACATTGAAAAATGTAATTTTTCGGAAACACACGTGACACCCTTAACATTTTTTCATCCTTTTGAGTGAAATCAGTGGAAAAATGAATATATCATTTTGAAGGGCACATTATTCGTTCTTCAAATTGTGATGTATTGAATGCGATTTGATTGATTTTTCATGAAGGTCTCATGAACACCCTGAAATTCGGTCTTTTCATCTATTATTGAATCTTTGCCCTTAAGGATAATCGGGCGAGCCCGGAGGGTTAGAAAAAAAGCAGCCATTTTTCTCTTTTATTGTTTACGTATTCTTTAAATGATGGAAAAGGTGTGAAAAGTTTCAGACTGCTGGGAAATATGGTTAATTTATTACGAATTTTTGAAAAAGTGGTCATTTAACCCGTGATCTGATGGAAATCATAAAAAAAACTGCAAAACCCAAGGAAAAAAAGCAGCCATTTTTCTCTTTTATTGTTTACGTATTCTTTAAATGATGGAAAAGGTGTGAAAAGTTTCAGACTGCTGGGAAATATGGTTAATTTATTACGAATTTTTGAAAAAGTGGTCATTTAACCCGTGATCTGATGGAAATCATAAAAAAAACTGCAAAACCCAAGGAAAAAAAGCAGCCAAAGTCATGAAACTTTAGACACATTTAGAAGATGTGATC